GTAAATGAAAGCATCATGTTTTAGGACTCCAGTTAACTCTGCTATACTCTGAGACAAGCGCAGGCCTCTAATGATCCACAACACAGCCTGTCTCTGTCTCCACCTCTGTCTCTGCCTCCCATTTCTCATTTCTTCCCTCTTCACAATTAATTCTTCCTTCTCTCTTATGCTTTTGTTTAATCCAAAGCTTCTTCTGGATCTCTGCCATCCTAACATCTCTGCCTATTGACACTTTATCCTAAACTCAAGTTTGTGGTAAAAGTCTTTGACTAGTCTGTAAGATGCCTCCAAAGACAGAGCACCTCACTGGGTTGAGTTCTCATACTAACCTACTCCGCCCATAAATCAGCTGGCCGCTTTAAAGCTGGTCACCCATCATTGGCCTGTTTAGATTGGTTAAGACACAGCCCGGCAAAGCTTGGTGACCATGCAGAACATGCTCCTTTCAGATAAGAGCAGAGAGTGTGACAAGCTCTCACAGTGCTTTGTGGTTCAGATCCATCCAGCCTAGAAACCTATGTCTCTCAGACGCTGGACTCCTTTGTCTCATGAAAGTGAAAGGTAAAGGTAAAGATGGCATCATGTATATAGGCAGTGACAGAATCCTAAGCACAGGGGAAAGGTGGCCTCAGAGAGCAATATTTCTTCCACACAGTGAAGCAGGGGGATGTCTGGAGAATTAATTATGCCTAATGATGCCTATCTTCTCAGTCATATTTAAGTGAAGAATGCCAATAGTTACAGGTTGAGGGAGATTAGGAGCTTGAGCATGATAAAGGTTTGGGAGAACCATTCTAGGGAACACAGAAATGAAGCTGAAGTTGATAAAAACATAAAATAAACAAACATAACCATTACCAAATAAGGGACTCAGGTCGCAGTTCTACCTTGATATGACTGATAGGAAGTTAAACTATCTAGACACTGAAGTAGGAGAGTGAGCAGACAAGATAAGGGTGAGCTGAGAAATGGTCACAGATGAACGCAATGCTGGGGTGTTGTTGGTGAGAGTAGCTCCATGGGATATGCATTGGAGAACTTGGCCTATGCTCATAATTGAATATAATGTACAGAAAACTTCTCTCACATTCTATAGTGTTCCTTGAGGAAGAAAAATAATTAAATGACTTTTTTTTTTTGCTGGTCCTAGTTCTTGAACTCAGAGCCTGGGCTCTGTCTCTGTGCTCAAGGCTAGCACTCTACCACTTGAGCCACAGCACCACTTCTGGCTTTTTCTGCTTATATAGTACTGAAGAATCGAATGAACTCAGGGCTTCATGTATGCTAGGCAAGCACCCGATCACTAAGCCACATTCCCAGCCCTTAAATGGCTTTTTATAAAAGACTTTTCATGTATGATTATTTACATGGAAGCCTGACTCTTAATTGGCAGAGAAGCATTTGATCTTACATAACATGGTTTAGCTTGAAAATGTTAATCATCCTAGACACTACTTATTTTTCTTGCTGAGCAAAGAAAAGAGAGCCAATCTTTCTGCACAACCATCATTTATCAGTACGTATGCTAGATGTTTTACCTATGTCCTCATTAATCCTCCTAATAGCCATGGAAGACAGGTATTACTGCTGGTAACCTATAGTGAGAAAACTAAGGCACACAGATGTCAAGGAATTTGCTCAAGATTGTAAAACAAGTGTGACACCAAAGCACATATTCTTTCAACAGGCCACACTTACAGAGTTGAATAAGGTGATTTCAAGATGAATGTAGACATTCACCTATTACCACAGTTTATATGTGACCTTACTATGAACCTGGACAAATAATTTATAAATATTATTCTTTCCAACATAGTTAACTACAATTATTCGATTACTGAAGAGTGCAAATGTTTACCAAAATATACTATTGTGCCTGCCATGGGAATAAAGAGTTGGGGATCTATTTCTGACTAGTCATGTAACCTCAGGTAAGCTTTTCAAACCCTTCTTTGTCCTGTTTCTTAATCTGGTAATGCAAGGACATTGGATGCAGTGATGACATCCATTTACTCATATAGGAAATAATTTAAACTCTTCAACGCCATCAGTGTGGCCCATTGTAGGTGTTGGGAATACAGTGTTGAATACAATTAGGATCTTATGGAATTTACATCTAAAAAACACTTGGCCTGAAGATAGGAATAGGACCTCTCAAGGTAGTGAAGGGCCAACGGCGGGACAATTTCCCAAACCATTTGGGGAATACTGTTTTGAAAGTATATTCCTCAAGAAATGAGGAACTAGAAACAGGGTTAATAATTGGCTGCACTCATATGGTAAAGCAAAAGGTCCCGAAGTTCAGGGATTTCCAGGTTGTGGCAAAGGTGACGGTTCCTGGAGGATGGATGAATGGAAACTTAGTGTTCTTTCTCCCCCTTGTCCTAGGTACCTCTTTTATCATTGGTGTCCTTAAAAATATGCTTTCCAGGACACTGGTAAACTTAGCGCCTCCCTGAATTCCAGGAGCTTCTCTAGTAAGTGACATAAATCCAAAGAAAGTGTTAGAATTCCAACTTAAAGCTTGTCAGTCAGAACCCAGCACAACTTGGTGCAACTGGCATCTAAAGCAAAGACAGTCTGTGAGACTGAACTCTCACTCTGTGGGATCAGATGCTATCTCCAAGTAGACAGTGTGTCAGAATCAGAGATAAGTCATACACAGTCCTAGTTTGTCTGCTGGAAAACATGGTCTCATAAGTGTTTTATTAGGTAAGTAAGCAAAACACTTTGGGTTCCCTTATCCTGAATTGTCTCCTAAATTCCTCAGAAAGTAAGCACTGTCAGTATTCAATGATACTGTTAAGCATTTGTGCATGTGGTGTCCTTTATGCAGAATGGCAGGGAAAAAAAAAACAAACCCAAAGATTGGGAATTTAGTATTTTAAGCAATATGGTGAACAAAAGTGACACCACTTATATTGTTCTCTTTTTGAAGCAGAGGTTCATTAACAGAGTCAATTCTAGGCTTAAAGTAAGATTGAAAATGCACTTGAATATTTCCTGATTAACTTAAGCCCTAAGGACACCTGGGCCAATCAAATATTAGACATCCTACCATCAGCCATGATCGATCTCTCCTGCTGAGCTCAAGCAGCAAAGCTGTTGGATTAAACTTGATGAAAAGGGTAAGTGATACCAGGTACTGGTGGCTCATGCTTATAATCCTAGCTACTTAGGAGGCTGAGATCTGAGGATCATGGTTCAAAGCCAGTCCCAGTAGGAAAGTCCATGAGACTCTCATTTCCAATTAACCACCAGAAAATCGGAAGTGGCACTGTGGTTCAAAGTGGTAGAGTGCTAGTCTTCAGTGAAAGACCTCAGAGACAGCACTCAGTCCCTGAATTCAAGCCCCATGACTGACAAAACCAAACCAAACAAAAACCCGTAAGTACTCTCTTTATATTTAAGTAAATAAAAATTATTTTAAAATTCTTAAAAATAAAAGCATGTCTATTCCTTTCGCAATGAATTTGTACAAAAACAAACAAGCAAGCAAACATTAGCAATGTAGAAATATTTTGGTGATGCAACGTCTGCTTATGTATTGTTATTCTTTAGCGTTCTGAGAATCATAATAACATCTGAAGTATTTGGAAATTGTTAAAACTTATTTTCACTCCTCTCAAATCTAAAGGGTATAACTAAGGTTTATGATACAGTAAACACAGAATAACCACAGAAATATATAGGACTTATAAACAACATAGCAGTCAGTCATAGTATGTTTTATTTTAAACTTGCTGTTCAAACTTCCAAATACAACACACGTGGCAAAGAACAACAGTTAACACACGACATCTGCCCCATTCAGTCCTTGAACTGCCTTTTCTATATGATGTGATATGTTACAATTGCAACTGTTTACATTCATGGTAATCTGAAAGGCAGCAATGTCAATATTCTACCTTGAAACGGTGCTGTTAATACTATGAGACTGCTTAACATGACAACTTCTTCCATTTACTATCTACTGCTGCCAACATTAATGACATAATTCAACATACTATTAAGTTGTTGAGAGGTACTTAAAAAATCAACTCCCAATTCTAAGTTAAACTGAACTTCAACCTAATGCAAGCATTGTCCTAAATCATTATACTCAGCTACTTTTCTTAAAAATATTTCCATTCTGAAGTTGTGTGTGTGTGTGTGAGATACAATAATTTCATTTCTTATCCCTAACAGAACTCATACCATACTTTTTTTTTCTCAAAATAGATTTAATATATTCTGTGCAAAATGTTAAGTTCTGTATAGGTATGTACCTTATTTTGAAAAAGTTTATAAAATATAACTCCTAAAAACAACCTCAATATTGGACAATAGAGGAAGAAGGTACATATCAGACAAAGCCTAATATTTCACATGAGAAACTAAGTATGTTCTTAAAGCTCCAGTAATACATTCCTTGAAAATACTCAGAATGCACTTTGGTCATTATTAAACATATTAGAACACAGGCAAATAAAACAAAATGCCTTCTGTTGTTTATACAAAGAAAAAACACTATACAACAAGGTTGAATCGAGGCTGGTCAAAGGAATGGTAAGAGCAAAGTGATAGGACAATGGCTCTATTCTCCACACATTCCTGATTTAAGATTATGATTTGGGAATTAGAACTGCACCAATCAAATAAAATATTTACAATTAATTTTTAAATTACTTAAAACATGGCAAAAATGTGAGGATATTCAACATGACTCTGCACCAAAATTCTAGATTATTTTCAAATAAATTCTTTGCTTTAGAAACCAGATGCTCAGTTAAAAAAAAGTCACAGAACATTTTATGTTTCATGTAATTCCTAAAATACTCTTGATTGTACAAACATAACAACTTAAAATCAAGGCCTAATATAACAAACCATCGTATTTTCCCCATTTACCTAACATGCCAACATGACAAATTCTCATTGGACACTTGGCAAATTACTGAAGGGGAGAGCAGTTTCCAGGTTAAGATAGCCCTTATATACTTGGGGTGGGGGTGGGGGGTCGGGGAAGGCAGGGGGAAGGGCAGGAAATGGTTGGACAGGAGGTTGCACCAGATTAAGTTTAGAGCGCAGAATTTGGATGCTGAAGCTGTCTCTTCTGAAAAGTTGGATGTAATTTTATAACTCAGATAAATATTTTATTCATTCTTAATCTTATACTTAAATTGTTTATTTAAGTGTAGTATGAATAGCATACACTATAGTGTACCATGGAGAAAATTATTTTGCTTGAGTAAACATAACGTACTTTAGTAATAGCAATAGGCACTTCACTTGTGAGTTGAGAATGTGTCTCACTCAAAAGGATACCATATCATGCCCTAGTACACTATAACATATCCCATAGGAAGATATGCATTAAAAGTAACCATTTTTAAAAGTGCACATTTTGAGCATGCACAGTTGGAGCTGTGCAAACAGCCCAGTGTTTCAAATAAATATAATTATTACTAATTTATTTTTATCAAAATATTTTACAGTATGGTAACCATTTACAATTATTGCTCCATTAAGAGTTTTATCATCAAAGAGCACTTGTTGACCTATTACATAATACCGTATGTATTAACACTGAAGGGTGCTTAAACTGTAGCTTAGTAAGTTTAGATCCTGGCATTGTTCTACAATATTTCAAGAGAAACCCTGACTAAATCTTGACATACTGAAGAAAATGCTGCATGTGTTTTGTTGAGTCCAATGCAATATTTTAAAGTTATTTTTCTCAAGTAAGGCAAGTTCACGGCATTGATGGAGAAATAGTGCTTAGCAATGGCTTCTATTTTCATAATTTCTTATTCTGTTAATTACAAGCAATTACCAGGATCTCAAGTATTGGGGGTATCAGTTTTATCACCCTTTCAACAAATAAGAACATCAATGCTTAAAAAAATATAACACTAAAATAAATGTAAAAAAATAGTGAACAAGTAAAATAAATATAAGAATTGCACACGACAGTCTGATGTAAACACTTCAATTTCCCAGTGGAGACCTCTGAAGTGAGGAGATGGTGACTGCTTTCAGGCAGCGTAGTCAGAACTCATACTCTGAAAGAGGCTACATCTCTCCTCTGAATTGTCATGACTTAATCTTCCATAGCTAGAAAAAAAATAGCAGAAGTAATAACCACTAGAGCCATCTTTATATGGTTAACTCAAATTCTACTAAATGCTACTTCTGGTCTAAATTTATTTCACAGTTCTGATATTTTAACTCTTTTATCCTGTTATTAAAAAATAACAATCTTCTCTAAACAAACAAAAAAGATGAAAATCAGATTTCTTTTGTTTTCTTTTATCCATATAGTATTTGTTTAATATGCTGGTTCTACACAGCTTACCAGTTTACTAGTAGTTAGTTGTGCGCACATTTGAGGATGTATCTGGCATTATATAGGTAAATAACACAATTCCAACAAATTGTATTCTTTATTATCATCAAAACAAAGGAGGAGGCAACAATGCTCAACAGGAAATGTACTCATTACCTTGCTCATGTAACTGTAACCCCTCTGTACAGTATTTTTACAAAAAAAATACAAAAAAAAAGAAACAGCAAAAAAAGCTATGCTGAAATTATATGAGGAAAAACAAACACTTCCTTCTGTCATATATAAGAATTCTATATATGCCAAATTCCATTTCAAATGACTAGTTCTATAGTACTAGAAGCCATAATACATATCATTCATTGAAATTAAATGTAAAATTTTAGTTTACTAGTATCCACCTTTACTAATATACTAGAATAGTTTTTAAATAATTGGTGGGTTTTTTTTGCTTTTTTTTTTTTTTCTTTTTGCCAATCCTGAGGCTTGAACTCAGGGCCTGGCACTGTCCCTGAGGTTTTGTGCTCAAGGCTAGCACTCTACCACTTCAGCTACAGTGCCACTTGCAGCTTTTTCTGTTGATGTGGTACTAAGGAATCAAACCCAGGGCTTCATGTATGCTAGGCAAGCACTCTAACACTAAGCCATGTTTTTAAATAATTTTATGCATTCTTATCAAAATGACTCTATTACTGTCATGTGAGATTTCAGAGTGCTATAGAAAAACCAGTGTCACAGAAATGCAACAGAATTCTCAGAGAGTAAAAGAATTTTAGCACTGACCTTTAAATTAAAGCCAAGCAAGTCACTGATAACACCAGAAACAGCTGACAGGATGACAACCTGGGTGATGTTATAAAGCAGTGGATTCATTGTAAGCCCATACAGTCTAAAGGGACTGTCCAATTCCTAACAGAGGAGAAAGAAACCATTAGACTCTGACTCTCAATTATCATTTAGACTAAATAAAGGCAATATATAGTATGGATTTAAAGGCACTGTTCCAAAAGTTACAAATCATAGATTTTTTTTAAAAATAGACTTGAAATAACTTTAATAGTAGTTTTATGGTTTTGGGTGGGTTTTTTTTTTTGGAGAAAGTCATTTCTTTTTTTTTGTCGGTCGTGGGGCTTGAACTCTGGGCCTGGGTGCTGTCCCTCAGCTCTTCAGCTCTTCAGCGCTCTACCACTTGAGCTACAGCGCCACTTCCGGTTTTCTGGTGGTTTATTGGAGATAGGAGTCTCACGGTCTCTCCTGTCCGGGCTGGCTTTGAACCGCGATCCTCAGATCTCAGCCTCCTGAGTAGCTAGGATTACAGGCGTGAGCCACCAGCGCCAGGTGGAGAAAGTCATTTCTTTGGCAGGAGGGGTACTGATCTTGGCACCTGAACTCAGTCGGGGCTTGGTGCTTTCCCTTAAGCTTTTTTTGCTCAAGGATAGTCTCCACCACTTAAGCCATAGCTCTACTTCTGGCTTTCTTTTGTAGTTTCATGGAGATAAGAGTCACATGTACTTTCTTGCTTAGGCTGGCTTTGAACCACAATCCTTAGCTACTGACCTCCTGTAAACTTGGATTATAGGTGTAAGCCACTAGTGCCTGGCTAGAGAAAGTGACTTTAGGGGCTGGGAAGGTGGCTCCGTGGTAGAGCGCTTGCCTCACATGCATGAGGCCCTGGGTTCAACTCCTCAGCACCATATAAACAGAAAAGGCCAGAAGTGGCACTGTGGCTCAAGTGGTAGAGTGCTAGCCTTGAGCTGAAGAGCTTGGGGACAGCACCCAGGCCTAGAGTTCAAGCCCCATGATCACACACACACACAAAAAAAAGTGACTAAAAATAACTAACTAAATTCATAACTACAATTTCTGTCCCAAGCCAATGTTTATAAGTAAAATATTAGTCTAGTAGCTGGAGTTATTTTTTGGCATAAGAGCTGGAAGAAAAACTGAAATAGAATGGTTTCTGTGGAATTAGAGATACAATTAGTCTAATTTTATAATATTAACATATAGTAAACATTCCTCTTGGGTCAATTCATTTACAAATACACAAATGGACTGATTCAAAAACATTCAAAGGTCTTTTGTATATGCCAGGCTCTTAGATGTTAAAATCTAGCCTGTTTGAAATCACAATTCAGAATGTATACAAAGAATTCAAAACAATTCATACAGTGAGATATATGCAAAAATCTGGTATCGGAGGAAGGTGTTCCTGAAACTTAAGAGTGTGAGGAAGAATAGTTAAGAATGAGAATACATTTGAGTTGCTACAGGCTGCTCAGCACTGTTATGGCCTAAATGAAAAGAGAGAAATATATTAACTCATAAAGCTGGCTTGTTAAATAAGGGTACTCTCTGGAAGGTTATGCTCACAGACTGACAGTAAAGAATTTACACAAGAGAAGAACAACCCTGAAGTACGTGGGAAAAAGAACACTGAGTTAGCAATGTAACACGAGAGATAAGAGTGATATCTGTAGCAGAAACATCTTAAAAGTTCTGTGCACCAAAATCTCAAGGGAGAGACAAGGGTCTCACACAGGGCAATGCTGACAGAAAAGGGGATAAATTAGAAGATACTTTAACAGAGAAGTACAATCTATATTAAGGTCCAAGTTTTGGATAAGGAGACTATGTATGCTCAAAAAGGATAACATCTGTGCTTTGCATTTTAGTTATTTTTATACTTGTCTCTATTCTGAGGTTGTAGCTGTTCATAAAGCCTCATGTCTAGGATCCCCTCCTGTCTAGCAGTGTCTAGACCCTGAAGATTTATAATACCACTGTATCAAGCAAATATAAAACTATCAATTATATTTGCTTGATACAGTGGTATCAATTCAAGTTCTTTTTCTCATAGAGCATTTAGGTAAATCTTCCTTAAAAAAGGAATTTGTCTACATTATTTTGCATATTATTATTAATATTACTTTTTGGTCAGTTGTGGGGCTTGAACTCTGGGCCTGAGTGCTGTCCCTCAGCTCTTCAGCTGAAGCCTAGTGTTCTACCACAGCGCTACTTCTGGCTTTTTCTGCTTATGTGGTACTAAGGAATTGAACCCAGGGTCTAATGCATGTAAGGCAAGCATTCTACCACTGAGCCAGCTTCCCAGACCCTATTTTGCATATTATTTAAAAGTCACAGCTTTCTAAGAATATTTTAAAAGGAATTTGAAAAAGTGAGTATTTTACAGTTACTTGATTTATAATCCTTCCACCCATTTCTTTTGAACTCTTTCAATGCCTAATCACTGTGTACTTTTTAGTTGACAAGAGAATTAACTATACTTTGGAGTTGCAATTAATTTCATACCACTCTCTGAAAATCTTAAGGAATATGTTCAACTGGTTACGGAAACTGAGATTTAGATAAACATTTTCATTTTAAGAAAGAAAAACATTACCAATGACACAAGTGGCATAAATATATTATTAGGACCGGGCACCTGTAATCCAGGAAGCTGAGATCTGAGGATCATGGTTCGAAGCCAGCCCAGGCAGGAAAGTCCATGAGATTCTTATCTCCAATTGACCATCAGATAACTGAAAGCTGTAGCTCAAGAGGTAAAGCACTAACTTTGGGCAAAAGAGCTCAGGCACAGTGGCCAGGACCCAAGTTCAAGCCCCCAAACAAACCAAAACAAAAACCAAACAAAAATGTGTGTGTGTGTGTGTTGTGTGTATAAAACTAGGACATTAAGATACGTTATTACACTGGGCATTGGTGGCTCACACCTGTAATCCTAGCTACTCAGGAGGCTAAGAACTGAGGAACATGGTTCAAAAGCTAGCAAGGGCAGGAAAGTCCATGAGACTCTTATCTCCAATAAACCACTCAGAAAACTGGAAGTGGCTCAAGTGGTAGAGCACTAGCCTTGAGCTGAAGAGCTGAGGGACAGCACCCAGGCCAAAAGTTCAAGACTCATGACGCTATATATATATAAAATTACTTTTATCAAAATGACTCCACTCCACTACTGTCATGTGATGTGAGAACTCAACAGTGGTAAGAGTGAAACAAGTACCACAAAAACAAAAGAGTTCCAAGAGAGATGTTACCAAAAATTATTTTAAAATGAAATGATTACTGATATATCTTATTACAATGACTATGTACTATTACTGTTTAAGTTAGCTCAGGTCAAGCAAATGGTTGCGCTGAGAAATATAAACTAAAAAGATTCCTAAAGTACCATCAAATCTTCTTTATTGAAATCAATTTCCTAGTAATTCAAGAGGCATAAATCTGAAAGGCATAAATTTTAACCTCTACAATGCTCTCAGCATTAGGAAAAACAATCTATAATACCAAAAATAATTATTCAGCTTATTTGAAGGAGAAATAAATTAAAACTATAAGAAGATGCCCAAATGTAATTTATAAACATTTTGGGTAGTCAGGAAAAGTAGATACAATAGGGGTGCCGGTGGCTCTCACTTATAATTCTACTCAGGAGGCAGAGATATGAGGATCACAGTTCAAAGCCAGCCTGTGCAAGAAAGTCCATGAGCCTCTTATCTCCATTAAACTACTTGAGCCTGTGGTTCAAGTGGTAGGGGCTAGCTTTAAGCACAAGAGTCTCAGGGACAGCGCCTAAGCCCAGAGTTCAAACCCCAGATGGGGAAAAAAAAAAAAAAAGAAAGAAAACACAAAGTAGGATCTATGGAGCCTAAGAATTTCCCAACAGTGTACTTTACATCAATTTTCAAGTTTATTCTTACCTTTAGTAGTTTAGTAGCCAGTTTTAAAACATTATTCACTAACGTAAGTTCCTCCTTTTTGTTAGGTTTCTTCTCCATTTTCAAGTAGAGGTTTATCTTTCATAAAATAGAGTCAACAAAAATATTTTATAACATGGAATACAAATTTTTAAAAACTGTAGTGCTGAGGATGGAACACAGTGCCTTGCGCCTCTTAGATAAGCACTCTCATATGAGCCACACCCTAAGCCACAAAAACACATGAAAGATACCCGCCAAAATATTAATGGTGGGTCTCCTGATATTAAGATTATATGTAATAATTAATGTTTTTCTTTATATATTACTATACATTTCAAATTCCAAACTTATTTTATAATAAGAAAAACAATAGTAACTTAAATACTTTACAAATGTAGTCAAACACCAAAACAAAAAGAAAATGGGATGGTATTATTATAATATACTAGTTCCAATTTCCACTATTATCCACTCGGTAATAGAAATTGCTCTACCCCAAGCCTGCGGAAAAAGTATCCTAGGGTAGCTTCAATTGAGCCTGCCTTTCCACACACAAGCTGGCAGATACAACTTAATCCATACATTGACTAGCAAGATTAATGCAGTATTTGCCAGATATCCTAGGTACCATGAACTGAAAAGTTAGTAACATCCCAGGCCAGTATTATAGGACAGCAAGTTTATGGAGAAGCCTCTGGAAAGGAGGTACAGAGAAGAACAAACATAGAAACCATTAGCCTCAGAATGAATTGGAAGATCTGACAGACTGTCCAATTCTATGTCTTAGAGATCTTTCTTTATGTTGGTTACTTCCCATTTTCCTTAACTTCAGCTCATTTTTTTTAATATTCTTTAATGTCAATCTTTAAGATTCTTTAATAACGGGCTGGGAAGGTGGCTCAGTGGTAGAGTGCTTGCCTTGCATGCATGAGGCCCTGGGTTCGATTCCTCAGCACCACATAAGCAAAAGCAAAAGCAAAAAAAGCTGGAAGTGGTTCTGTGGCTCAAGTGGTAGAGCGCTAGCCTTGAGCTGAAGAGCTGAGGGACAGTGCCCAGGCCCAGAGTTCAGGCCCTACGACCGGACCCACCCCCCTCCCCCCAAAAAGATTCTTTAATATCAATCTATCCTTAAGTAAAATATGCAACAAGTTAATTGGCAATACATTTGTTATGTAATTATTATGAAAGGGTGAGAGGAACATATTTAACAAATTCATACAAAATAAAATAAACTACCAAAATGATTATAAATTATTCATAGTTATACAATTTCATATTTATTCTAATGTGGCTCTAAAAACACTGTAGAACAAACATGTCCTACTAATGGTCGAGAATCCATCATTTCCATAAGTATTTTTTCCTTTTTGTGAAATGACAAAGGGATATAAAAACAGATTAGATTTGAAATATGAGTCAAGGCAGAAAGTCTCATGTTTAATCAGATTTTAAGCTTGCTTTATAGGCACAAACGACCTTAATCAAACAGAATGTTCCAGAGAAATTCAATTTTAACTTAGTATGCAGAATATAGAAATTAATTTGTAACACAATAGACTCACCTGTTCAGTAAGTAATATTGAGGTATTGCTATATTTTTTACTTGTTTCTGATCCAAGTGTAACAAATCGTAAGAGAAAAAGTGTCAATGAGATGCACCATATGACCAGTTCCCAGTTGTAGTGACAATCAAGAAAGATCTCATGTACATGAAGCAGCTGAAGTGGAGGAAAAAGAAACAGTAAGCAGCAGTGTGGTGTGCAATTGTGTTTTAAAAAGAAATTGTTTATAAATGTAGAATTATATTTTGAAAAAATTCCACACTTCTTATGAAAGTATAGAGAATAAACAATAGCCCTGAGTCTTGTAACCAATTTTGTTGCATGTTAATACTTAGCTGTAGTTACTTCACACTTTGAAAAATGATCAGATTCAGCAGAAACCCCTTTAAAAATTTCCTGATCTTTGACCCCTAAAACTCTGCCCCACCTCAAAAATAATATATTTTGTGCATCTTTTCATAAAGGATTTTAATAATTTCGCTAGGTACTTATCCTTTTTCCCCCCCTGCTGCTGGCATCTGGTCAAGGAATCTACCTCTTGAGCTACACTCCTAGCCCTTTTGTTCTACTTCCCATGTAGCTGGGATTCCATGCATATGCCAAGGTGCTCAAATAAAATTATTTTATTTACATTTTAAATGTTGTATGTCATCACATGACCCCAATGTTGTATATTATACCTCCATTTTTTAAATCTCACAGAACATCATTTGAGACTTATGTTGATACATTTAGTTGTAAATCTGTTCATTCTAGCTCTTATAAGAACACCAAGGGAAGGGGTAACAATGCTTGACAAGAAATGTACTCATTGCTTTACTCATGTAAATGTATCTCCTCTGTATAGCATCTTTACAATAAAATTTTTTTAAAAAGAATTTAGAACTAAAAAAAAGATATCTTAGTAAAAGAATCCACCACAGCTTATTGGACTACTCCATCAATTAACATTTATGTTCTTTGTCAGGAACCAGTGGCTCAAGCCAGTAATCCTAGCTATTCAGGAAGCTGAGATCTAAGGATTGTGGTTTGAAGCCAGCCTGGACAGAAAAGTCCCTGTGAGACTCTTATCTCCAATTAACTGCTCAAAACCCAGAAGTGGCACTTTGACTCAAAGCAGTAGAGAGCTAGCCTTAAGCAAAAATTGCTCAGGGATAGAGCCCAGGCCCCATGACTGGAAAAAAAAAATTATGTTCATGGGGCTGGGAAGGTGGCTCAGTGGTAGAGCACTTGCCTTGCATGCTCGAGGCCCTGGGTTCGATTCCTCAGCACCACATAAGCAAAAAGAAAAAAGCCGGAAGTGGTGCTGTGGCTCAAGTGGT